TAGCATATGAATATTTTATTACATTTTGAATATTTTTACATATATATTATTAGTGAGCTCATATATTATAGACAATTATTTTGTTAACTTCTAACAGCTTTGTGGTGACTTGTATACCCACCAAGATGGCAAATTTATTACCAAAACATGTCAGGTGAAAATATGCTGTAATTCAGTATCAGATTTATTTACTGCTCTATTGGATAACGATAAAGACTTCAACATACTATTCCACATTATTATTAACAATTAACAAGAATTCTTAGATTACTTAACACCTCAGTTTCAGCAACACAACTGACAGAAGTGAGTTCATGGTTGGTGATCAAGCAAGAATTTGATTTTGAAAGTACTTTTCATGACCTATTTGTCATTACCATCCTAGCCTTCCCCTAGAGGGACCACTATGCAACATCTGACAAAACAGCTACCCAGGCCAAAGCATGCAACAGGCATTTTCTAAGTACAAAGTCACACGTTACCACAGTTCTAATCTACCCTTGTTTGGCAATATTTGAAAGTGAACTGTTAGTATTATGTTCTGTCTGTCTTTACTCCAATAAATAATTGCACAGACGATTCGCCAGTCCACGGCATCAACAAGGACACAGTAATGAAGTCAGATTTCAGATTCACCAGCCACCATGTCATCTAGTCCACACATGGGTTATTATGCCTCACTAAACGGGAGAGGCTACAAACTACAATATGCTCAGAAGTAAATTTGAAATAAACTTAAAAAATGTCAAATGTTAAATTTCTAAACAGTTTGTTCAACCCCCCCCCAGAAAAGTGCCAGATGTACAGGAAGGACAAGGAACGTGTGGGAATTATTAATATGCATTTAAAAATGTACCTGTTACTGCAGCAGAGAATTTTAATAACATACACAAAATGTAATAGGGTATATAAACTTATCTGAACTAAATCTATGTCAAATTCGCAATATTTGTTCATGATATTTGTGGAATCTATTAACCTTTATTGGCCACACTGCTTGTAGAGCATTGCACTCCTTCAGTACTTACATTGTCATTCCAAGATAAAATTCTGCTGCCAGCCCATCACATCAGAGGATTTTAAATCCCTAAATCTTGGACAATAAAGGTTAATGTGTGGCATATCCAGGAAAACTTTAAAAATAATTTTAACTGCAGAGTAAGAAAAATAATGTTTTCTTACTGCAGTACTAAGCAGACTGGCTTTTGAAAAATTTCAACTTGCAGAGGTTCTCTCAATTAAAAGTTGAAATGGTATGGGTAGGAGGACCCCATTATATATAATGCTATTCAGGATAAATGTAAAACCAAACCTAAGTAAAGCTATATAAAATGTAAATTACGCTCTGAAATTGTTCATGCTGCATATGAATGTTTATAGCACATTTAAGAAACAATAATTTTAATTAACTTCAGACTAAGCAAAACAATATAATTCAATGATAGTAACTAAATAAATATGAAGAATATATTCATCTAAAATAGAAAGGAACCTACCTTATCTAGCTACATAGTGTCACATCCCAGATGACTGCAATCTAATATACAATGCAGTGAAACCTCAAATTTGAATAAACAATGAATAAAAGATTGTAATTGTTTATAGATCTTTCAGTTATAAGTTACTGAAATGAACACAAAGAAGAACACAAAATGGTGACATTTAAGATAAATTAAAGTTCAGGATAATACTGACATAGCAGCTTGGCAGGTTTCAACATGCTCTAAAAGCCTTGAAATGGGCTCACTCACAAATGAAACACTGCAAGAATGTTGTACTTTTGAAACAACTAATACACTTAAATAAACTACCTACTGGATGAGCTAAGATAAGTTATATAAACCATATCCACATTACAGAAATAATAGGAACTGATGAGCTGTATTCTGCTGTCAACTGCTGTTGAGCTAGAGAGCACCTACATTAGAACTTGATACTGTGAGTCACAGAACTGGGTATCATAACCTAAAACAAAGAATAATGTCACATAGTTATTTACCTGTCTTTAAAAGTTTCAGTTACCCCTATTACAGTGTAAGTTTCAACGTAAGAGATGAACTACTCATCAGATCTTTTGTATTCTTCAGTCACTGGAGAAAATATAGGAGTACAATGACACAGACTTCAAGAAAGCCCGTGATTCAGTTAGGATGGAATTATTGTACAATATTCTGTCAGAGTTTAGGATACCCATGAAACTAGGAAGGCTAATTAAAATGTGTTTAAACAAAATGTATGGCAAAGTCTGTATACGTAAATATTTGTCTGATAATTTTCCTATCCAGAATGGTCTAAAACAAGGAAATGCTTTATCACTACTGCTTTTCAACTTTGCGTTAGAAGGTCCAAGAAAACTAGGTGGGACTGAAATTAAATGGAATACATCAGCCGTTGGTCTGTGCTGATGATGTGATCTACTAGTTGTTAATATAAATACCATAAAGAAAAATACACAAACTTTAATTGACGCTATTAAATAGGTTGGTCTAGAAATAAACACGGAGAAAACTAAGTATATGTTGCTGTCTTGTCACCAAAATGCAGGGCAAAATCAGGACATAAAGATACGTAACTGATGTTTTGAAAATGTGGCACAGCTCAGTAACAAATCAAAACCTGATTCAGGAGGAAATTAAGAGAGGACTGAATTCGTGTAATGTTCCAGAACTTTTCATCTTCTCATCTGCTGTCTGAAAACATAAAAATTAGAATATACAAAACTATAATTTTGCCTGTGGTTCTGTATGGGTGCGAAACTTGTTCTCTTAACATTAAGGGAGGAACACAGACTGAGGGATTTGATTTGTTTCATTCTGGTCCAACACACTAACAATATTACAAATGATAAAACAATTCCGTCCAGTGTAACTGTTGAAGCTTTTACTACTTCACTTCTTAGCACCCTAACATGTTTCGGTCCCTATAGACCATCATCAGAGGGAGCATCAATACTTTTAGAAACTACTATTACATTGTGTTTTGATTTTTAAAATACATAAATATACAATATTTGTAATATACACTTTATACAAAATCCAAATTTCTTACAACTACAGCAACTGTCCTTGATGCATTAAGTTTTTTTTTTAACTTTTTGTTATTTAAGGTAAAATTCTTTAACCGAATAGGTTCGTGTCCCTTGTCCTTTCGTTTTTCTTGATGGGGCCGAACTTGTGCCGCTTGTCTTTCTTGGGAAGGTAGTGCTTGTTGTTGTCCTATGTTTGTTCATAGTGTGCTGTGTTGTTTTTACTTAACAACAACTTAAAAACAACACAGCACACTATGAACAAACATAAGACAACAACAAGATCTACCTTCCCAAGAAAGACAAGCGGCACAAGTTCGGCCCCATCAAGAAAAACGAAAGGACAAGGGACACGAACCTATTCGGTTAAAGAATTTTACCTTAAATAACAAAAAGTTAAAAAAAAAACTTAATGCATCAAGGACAGTTGCTGTAGTTGTAAGAAATTTGGATTTTGTATAAAGTGTATATTACAAATATTGTATATTTATGTATTTTAAAAATCAAAACACAATGTAATAGTAGTTTCTAAAAGTATTGATGCTCCCTCTGATGATGGTCTATAGGGACCGAAACATGTTAGGGTGCTAAGAAGTGAAGTAGTAAAAGCTTCAACAGTTACACTGGACGGAATTGTTTTATCATTTGTAATATTGTTAGTGTGTTGGACCAGAATGAAACAAATCAAATCCCTCAGTCTGTGTTCCTCCCTTAATGTTAAGAGAACAAGTTTCGCACCCATACAGAACCACAGGCAAAATTATAGTTTTGTATATTCTAATTTTTATGTTTTCAGACAGCAGATGAGAAGATGAAAAGTTCTGGAACATTACACGAATTCAGTCCTCTCTTAATTTCCTCCTGAATCAGGTTTTGATTTGTTACTGAGCTGTGCCACATTTTCAAAACATCAGTTACGTATCTTTATGTCCTGATTTTGCCCTGCATTTTGGTGACAAGACAGCAACATATACTTAGTTTTCTCCGTGTTTATTTCTAGACCAACCTATTTAATAGCGTCAATTAAAGTTTGTGTATTTTTCTTTATGGTATTTATATTAACAACTAGTAGATCACATCATCAGCACAGACCAACGGCTGATGTATTCCATTTAATTTCAGTCCCACCTAGTTTTCTTGGACCTTCTAACGCAAAGTTGAAAAGCAGTAGTGATAAAGCATTTCCTTGTTTTAGACCATTCTGGATAGGAAAATTATCAGACAAATATTTACGTATACAGACTTTGCCATACATTTTGTTTAAACACATTTTAATTAGCCTTCCTAGTTTCATGGGTATCCTAAACTCTGACAGAATATTCTACAATAATTCCATCCTAACTGAATCACGGGCTTTCTTGAAGTCTGTGTCATTGTACTCCTNCTCCTCTAGAAACAAGATATAAAAATAATTCTAGCTACTTACCAAATTTCTAAGAGCCAGCAGTAATTTACTATGAATTAAAAACGCGCGCGTGCCCCCACCGCGCATGCACACGCACATGCACATGCACACACGCACGCGCGCTCATGCACGCACACACACACACACACACACACAAAACCTGCGCAGAGCCCTGGGGACTTGGTGACCTCTTGGTTAGACACTGAGCTCTCATTTAGAGGGCTCTGAGTTTGATTACTGGTCACATGTGCATCCAGATTTTTCTGCACACAGATTGTAACTTTCACCTCTACAAAGATAAAACTTAAGGAAAGTGAAACTCTCCCTCCCCCACTGTTTCATGCCCATGTTAACTTATAGATACCCCAAAAAAGGAAGTGACTACGCCATGAAGGCTTGTGGGGGAGTGGAAATATAGATCCACATTTTCTTGACTTTGGCACTAATTGAAGATCAGTTGTCAGCTTCACTGCTTTACCCCTGGGGAAAGAGCCCCTGGTACCCACTGGATAGGAGGCTGAGTGGGCCCCAGAGCTGGTGTCATCGATGTGGAGAAGATAAAATTCTTGACCCTACTGGGACTCAAACTCCGACTCCTCAGTCATCCAGCCAGTAGCCAGTCGCTATACCAACTGCACTAACCCGGCTCACTGATAACCTTTCATCCAGCTGTAACAGAACTTGCTCTACAGGTGTTCCCAGCTCACAAATGGATTTTACCTCCTTACTTTGGTAGGCAGAAGTCAGAAGGTCACCAGAGACCACATCTGTAGATACTATATGAACAATACATTTATAGACCTAATGATTTAACAGTCTGCATTCCTAATAATTAAAGGGTCCCCCTCTTTTTAGCCTTTCGTTTCCAAGCTTATGTTAAGCATCCAAAAGTAATTAATACAGGAAGAATTTAAATAAACTCAAATTAATATCTCAGCTTAGAATGAATATAAAACCAACTCTTAAGAGAATTACAGGTCTCATTTTAAAAAAAGTTAGGTGTACTCCTATTAGATCATACATACTACACATTCATTTTGTGACTATATATTCGTCATTTCTTCATTTATAGCAGGCACAATTATATCAGTGGCAAAGTTAATCAACAGTACAGATATCACCATGAAGAGCGGCAAGTTCTATTGCAGATAAAGGTAATCAATACAACAGACGTTACATTTCATATGCATATATATTCTTATTTAATGTTTCTTTGCAATCTGTTAAATATTGGTGTGTACTGAAAAAAAAAACTGTCACAGATCTTAAATATCTACAGTTTAAGCCATATTCTTTGTGTGATGAATTACTACTGGGCTGTTTGACAGCATTTGATATGGCATCATGACACGCAGAAGTTTGGTACAATGAATGACAGAGACCAAATATGAGATGTGAGGTTCTTGCAGTTGTGAATATTAAGATTTCTTACAGAATGTGATGCCATGTAGTCTGGTAGGTGGGTATCAGCATTTTAGAGAAACCTGCTGTCTCCATCTAGTTTCTTCAAAATACTGGTACCTACCTAGCAGATGACATGGCATCATAACCTAGAACGCTGTAATCTTAAAGAGACTTCAGTGATGCACTGTAACGCTGTCTGGATCATGATTTAATTCTGTAAATAGTTAACAAGTTAAAAATGTTAGTTAAAATCAAATTTTATCAATTTTCTAAGGAACTCACCATATGAAAAATGATTAGATCCAATGAATGAAGAAAGGCAGAGGTTATAATACAACTGCCATGATGCTACAGTAACATATACATAAATACATAATTCTGCACAACTACCGGCAGACTGGGCACGTTTACTGTACCTTCACTCGAGGCTGCAGTATGTCCTGCTGACCTCAAGCGAAAGAGCGTTATTTCAGCTGCAAGTATTTTGGCTTCTTCTGCAGACGAAAATATCCTGGGAGTCTGAAACTGTGACTGATCCCCGGGATACTGTGGTATCACCACCTGCAATATATTATTATTAACTGTAAATGAGCATACAGGCTCAAGTCATACTTGAGGAGGTACTCAGACTGAATCTTGAGTCAGGACACTGATTATCAAGAATGCTGTTACTTATGATTTTTCTTAGTTTCTCCTGTTAATCATTAGGACAGTACCCTGAAATGGATAATGACTTGTTAGTAAGAAACTTTCAAGGATTCATGAAAACTAAAAATTGTAACATTTCTTGAGCTAGAGAGCTGTCATTAGAGAGTGACAGGCATGGGATCATTTTCTGATGGAGGCATACAAGGTCTCTGAAACCTTGGACTTCTGCTCCAAATTAATGCAGCTGATGGCCTGAGAAGATCTGTCACTTCTCAGCAGTCCATAATTTCTCCAGTTAACACTACATAATGCTAAATGATGTCTTCAACCATTACAGTCCTGTTAAAATAACCATAATCTGTCCAGCCATTTAAAACTGGGTAACGATAACAGAAAATTAACACTAACTGAAGAGACGGGTTGAAATCAGTAATTTTAAATTTGGACCCCAATGTATTACACACCATCTTTCAGGTTACAAATGTGTTCTTGGTCACTGTCCATAGCTACCATCTATCACACTAGCCAGGTTATTTTATTATTATTACTAACCAAAAATATTCTAATTATAATGAGAGGAACTTTGACAAAAATGCTGAAATGTATCTTAATGTAAGAAATGTAACCAGTAAAATAAGTATGTACTTAGTGTGTTTGTGGATGTCTACTCACTCACTTCAGGCATCTCCTGATACTCAACCACACACAAGGTACAGCATAAAAACCACCTGGTAGCCCATACCAAAGCTGAGAAACCCACACAGAATAGCTTCCAACATACACACCAATATATGTGTATACACAAACTCTACAAGACACAAAAACCCACATATTCACCTACAAAATGACAAACTCTGTATGTCAATCAATCACCTTCACACACACAAAAGTAATGCTTCGCTTGCCTAAAACTACAAAACATGTACACCACTTAACACCTAAACATCTCCCCCACTTTCAAACGTTTAAAAATTAAAATTCTGTTTTGATCTAGTTTTCTTTAACTACTAGATTAGTTGGTTGAGGCACTATGCTACAAGATGGAAGGTCACAGGACTGAATCCCAATGAGGTGGATATTTTCAATTTACCTAATCATTCCAGCCGCACTATGGCCCTGGGGTCAACTCAGCCTCTAACAGAAATAAGTACCAGTCCTTTGGGGTTAAGGGCGGCCGGGGCATAAGGCTGACAACCTTACTGCCATCTGTGAGCCGAATGTCTAGAAAATGTGGGAGCCTTGACCTCTCACAACCCTATGGGCCTTCACAGCCTGTTACAGGGATACTTTTACCTTTTTTTTTTAATAGATTTTAAGTACTAACACACTTAACCTTTATCATATATTATTTGACATATATCCCACAAAAGAACTTCAAATTAAAATTTAGATTATAATATTATTGATAAATGTACAAATGAATCCATTTCAATAATTTAGTAATGACATATGTATTAAGAAAGAAACCACCTGATGATCTTTGTAGATCGAAACATGTAATGGGATGAAAATAAAATAACTGGAACATTAAATATTTTGATACCAGTTACAAACAACTGTGTTGAAGTTCCCCTAAGTGTATCAATAATAATGATACAAAACGGTGCAAAACATATAGATTTCATGAAACCTTATAATGTGGAATTTTATGAAGAACTGTTGGGCTATGTCAGTTTTCACTCAGATCAATTTAATGAGCACTTCATATGTAGAATTACACACATCTCTGTGTCCATCTCGAGCATAGCTTGCTAAGTATATATCAGAGTGAAAGACGGCCCAAACAAAAGCTGTGAAGAAACATGAAACACGCAGTTTATGTCTGACATACTTTTCGGTAGGTCTTATGATTTCTGGGATAAATACAGCAATTAGATGGCATATGTACATTTCTGGAGTTTGATATTCTACAGACAGGGTGTCTCAAAGCGGTACCAACACTTGCATTATCTGTATTCTTCTACTGTTTCTATTACCCTTCACTAGCATGGAAAACTGGGAGAGCTTTCCAGTTTGATAGAAAAGTATCAACGTTTCAGAGGAAACTGCTGCCTCCATCTTCATGGTAGGTGATCTCCTACCCTGAAGATGGAAGTGGCAGGTTCTTCTGGAACACTAGTACCTATCTACCAAACTGCGTGGCGCCACATCCTAGGAGACCATAACCTTAACATTCACTGCTCTGAGAGCCTATCTCAGAATAATACCGGGACTTTTCGAGGACTTTATCCCCACTGCAGATCCATTCTCCAAGCTACATCCTCCCTCTCTCTTAATTAGGGCATTAGCCATGACTGCCTGTTCCATATAAAAATTGATCTTTCCACTGTTTTGTGGGCTCACTGTTTCCTTTACCAATCAGTTTACAATTTGCACAGATTGGGTGGGAGGGGGGTCTTCTATTTGTAGGGCATGGAGCGAGGATAGCACACAGTCAGTACAGCGACTGGCTATGGGCTGGACAACCGAGGGGTTGGAGTTTGAGTCCCAGTAGGGTCAAGAACTTTGACTTCTCCACGTCACCCAGACTAGGCCTGGGGTCCACCCAACCGCCTATCCAACAGGTACCAGGGTCAATTTCCCTGGGGGTAAAGCAGCCAGGGCCTGAAGTTACCTCCAACTAGTGCCGAGGTCAAGAAAATGTGGATCTATACATGCACTCTCCCATACATTTTCATAGCATAGTGCTTAATTAGTTAAGCATAGGGCCTTTTTTTTTCTTTTACATATTTAAGGTATAAGTTTTACAACTGGCACCCTATTACATTACTTCTGTTCATGTCCTGCTCCTCTCCCACAAATTTTTATCACCATATTTCTATACCTTCTACTATTCTTGGCTCTATCATTTACATTTCTAAATCTTGCCAAACATATGTTAATACTCATACACACCGTAATGCTGTCATTAAAATTATTCTGTATTTGGAAGGTCAAAATTTCATCCAAGATTAAAATCTCTTAGTATTTTTAATGAGTCCTGCCACACAAATGCCACGTGCAGAACACCAAAAAAGAAAACACTCCCTTTTTCCACTTCATAACATTGTCAATGTAAGAAAGTAAATGCAATGGTGATTTATTGGAGAGTCATCTGAGTGAAGGCGGATGTATTTCCAATATAGGTTAAACATACAAGATGTGGAGCTCTCATGGCAAGCAAATGCAACTCTTCTCAGACAGTCAGCAATGTCAAGTGGAACGGATTTTCAACAAAGTATCCTCCAGTATACATAGGGCACATGGAGGGTACCAGAAACTAGAACTGGGCAGGGGGCTTTCTCTAATTTACTCTGAAGGGCTTAGCCACTGGGGCTTCCACACTTCTGCTGTGGTAGGTGGAAGTCACACCCCTCAGGGGTCTTGTGCGGGTCAACTGCAGGCAAAACTAAGAGGTCTTTAGATAGGGGTGAATAACCTAAGAAGGAAAATTGATAAGCTAGTAAAGAAGTGGAACAGTACAGGAGGTTCTTCTTGAACAAACAGAAGCCTCAGCTCAGGCTAGCTTAAGGGTTCAGCAAGGGGTGGTCAGCTGTCCCTGTCAGTGAATGACAGTGCATGCCTGTAAACACCCCATCAGCAATCCAAGAGATCTTCTTCTGGCACTGGAGGGCTCAGGTACTGGCCCCTTCTATCAAAAGGAAGTATCTTTCAGCTCTCAGGAGCTTCCATGAAAGGTGTGCATGGATAAGAGTGAATCAGGGCTCTTCATCTGGACGAACAGCCCGTCCATCAAGAAGAAATGTCTGACCCGCAGAAGAGGCTATTCTTGGAGAAACTGAGAGAAATTGTGGGAGTTATTATGTCCCTGTTGAAGAATAATATAGAGCTGTCAGCAACCAAAGAGAGGATAGCATTATGTTGATGCCCATTTTGGTGGACATGGATTCGTAACTTTAGGCTCTGCATGAGTGGAGCCAACAGATATTAGAGGGTCTCATATTAAGATCCCTATTGTGAAATCTGGGGTACACAATGGACGCAGCAGTGGTCTGAGGTGCTTGGGGCAACTAGAAATCCCCCCCTTCCCTAAGTCAGTATTCAACACTCAGTCCTCCCCATTACAGGTGAACTACACAAGATTTGAAGTTTACTATGACAATGAAGTCTTCTCATGCAATCCACCATGACAGGACAGAACACATATCCATTTTGGAAACTGTCACTGCATTTGTCACCAGGGACTGATGATGTTGGAAATTCATTCCACCTTGACATGATTAATGCCCGAGAACACTTCTCTGCACATGAAAAGAAAATTAACTTCCAGCCAATTACTGTAAATCCTCCACACTAGCAACTTCAGTCTGAATCAACAGTGTACACAAATTAAACGTCTGTAACTAATATAAATTCTCTATATTTACTACCTCCAGTTCCAATAATTACAACTTATCCAACACTTCACCTTCTTGCTCAGATCCACTGTCCACAAGAAAATCAAGTAAATGATTACAACTTACCTGGCACATGTACACTAAAGTAAATGATTACAACATGACTGGCATGATACTGAAGTAAGGTTCACCCCAGTTGTTTTTACGGCAGTATTCAGAAAGTACCTATAACAGGTTTATTTCCAGTTATAAATGTACTTCTTCTGCATTTAATATGGACATAAAATATATTCTTGCAGATACGACAACCATGTAGCACGTAAAACCGAGCACTAAGCAGGAGCATTATGTGAAGCCTGTCCTTCAATAACATGTAATTCAAATAAACAACTAAACACATTACTTCATTAACCCACTAACAGTATTGTTTGCTGTTTATTAAACGTCTTTTGCTCATGGCCTAGCACCTACCTACCTAGGGAACATCCATTTCTGTGGTGTGGACACCCACAGGGCAACTTTATTCTCCCCGGTAATTGAGTAGTCAGGTGAATGGTGGTGAGTGGGGACCTACAACTTAATACTGGCTCCAAACCAACTGAGGGAGGGAGGTTCATAACCTTCATACTCACGTTTTCTCTTTCTAAAGATGACGTTCAAATCCAAGCATAAAAATTCACACACGGAACTGACTAAGGATCAAACTCAAAACCCCTGAATAATTAACATTATAACATAAACTGTTTGGACTATCAAATATTTTGTTAAACATCTGAAATTTCAGATAATATACAAAAACAAAAGTATATGAAAAATGAATCAGAACCGAGATTTTTAGGTATAGACATTATAGAAAACCTTAAATGGAATACCCACATCCAGTCATTATGTTCAAAACTTAGTAAAACATCCTATATAATTAAATCACTAAGAGGAGTTTTGAATCCAAATATGTTAAGAAGCATTTATTTTGGAAAGTTTCAATCGTTATTGAGATATGGAATAATATTTGGGGGGGGGGTGATGGTAATAGTATAAAGGTATTTAAAATACAGAAGGGGGTGCTGCGAATAATTAGTGGACTTGGTAAACAAAAGTCATGCACGCAAATTTTTAAAGATTATGACATCCTTAGAGTCACATCTTTGTATATCTTAGAGGTGTTATGTTACATAAAAAAGCACAAAGCAGATTTGATCCAAAATATAAATATTCATAGTTATAATACAAGAATAAACAAGGATTTTCATGTTCAATTCTTGAGAACTACATTATTTAAAAAAAGTGTGGTAAATATGGGGATAGAATTGTATAGTAAGGTGCCAAACAAAATAAGAAACTCTGTGGGTTTTTCAGTTTTTAAACAAAAGACTTAAAATCATTTTTACTGAAACATTCTTTTTATACGATAAATGGATTTGTTAGTTTTAATAAAAAAGTGGATGGTGCAAGTACTTATGTTTGGGTGTCATAGCCATTCATGAGCTGGATATTGTAGTTTGTGTATTTTTTGGAATGTTGTATTTATACATTGCTTATGATTGTAACAAATGTTGGTAGTATGCTTGTAACTTTGTAGATTTGTTTTGTTAACTTTTATTGCCGAATGACTTGTCCAAGTGTTACTACGTAGCAAAATGGATGAAAATAAAATACAGTACAATACAATACAGTATGTAAAAGTTGATCAACATATGACTGTCTTCAGAATTACTGGGTTTTCAGACTTTGTCCATCATCTGGTATTCTGAAAACTAGAAAACACACCATCTCAGAAACTGGATTTGTTTCTGCCCTCACATAAGGGGGGAGACACACCTACTCTGTTGGGTCCCTTAGAGAAAGCTAACCTCAATCACATTCTAAGAGACCCAACAGAGTAGTGTCTCCCCTATCCGATAAATGATACAAACTCCGTCCCAAGTGCAAACAATATATATTATATGTCTTTGATCTTGCTCTCTTCTACACTACATGTTTCGGCCTCTAACGGCCATCATCAGGCGTATACTCTTACGTTACTGCCACACTGAACCCAGTCTAAAATTTAACATTTAAAAAACACATTGTTATTTTCTTCGTTATTATCAACATCTACCTCGTTGATACCTGTCTGGTTTGTAGATTATTTTGCACATGTCAATTTTGGTTTTCCTGTAGTAGCACTATAAAATCTTTAGTTACAATTTTTAAATCCTTTAAAATTTTCTCTAAATTTTAAATTTAAACAGCACTACATTAACGATTCTAAGTCAGGTTTACCTTAACCCCATCACTTTTCTGGTTTCTCCTCCCCTCTCTGCAGAAATTCACTCTCTGCATTAAACAGAATTAACAGCATATACTAAAGACAATTCAATATTTTCAAGTAATGGTATATCAATCTCATGTGAAAAAATGGCATGCCTGAATGTGCAAACATATTTCTGTTTGTAACTACCTAAATAAATTTAAACCATTTGCCCAAAAATTCTGTGGTGAACTAATACTGGTGTAATTTATCCCTGTGAAGCACAGCGTTTACTATAACCTACTTTAACGTTAAAAATCTGTTTATTTTGGCCACTGAGTGCAAGTATGCATTCTGTGAGATTCTCAAAATAAACAATGATTTTTCCCCTAAAGAGTATTAACTGACTGGTCTTTGTAATGAAAATGAATTATGTTTTGTGTTCAGTACAAAACGAATTTTTAAATATTCTACAGAAGAACGCCAGGCTTCAATTTTTTTATGCAAGGTCCTTAAATATCGCGTTTTCACATTCTCTTGGAGAGCATGCAAATGTTTTAATGGTAACATTCCTTTAAAATGGATGATAATGTGATTCCATATCTACTTTTTATACATCATCATGACCAATAAACAAGTGTGCCAGTACTTGAAAGTTCTCTCTGCCAAAGCATCATACCATAAAGTGGTTCATGGGGAATGACACACATTCTTAACCTGAGCAGCAGTCGGAACTGAATTCTCAGTTTCACGCCCTACCTCCTTTATCCCTAGGGCAACAGCCAACCCAAGCATGGGCAATTTAGTATAGTGAATCACAAACCTGGAAATTACATGCATCTTTATGGTCTTCATTTAAATTTCAGGCAACAGAATTTGTGAACTAGAATAAATCATTAAAATTCTCATCTTTTAAGTCTGCTAATCTCTTAAAGGGAAACGTGCACTATAAATTATTCCAAAACTTTTCATTTTAATCCACACATACCTCCGGGGCTCTAGGTCCGATGATATGAGGCGGTACCATGATTAATGTTCTGCCACCTTTCCATCTACTTGAACTTTGTGCATCAGAGGATCCATAGGTCCTATAAAATTATATTTAACATAACCCTCTAACTTATGACAATGCATTTTGACACACTATTAACATTGGCTATGTCTTATACATAACTAAAAGTAACATAAATATTTAAATTAAGTTCCTTCATAACACCGTAGAATACAGATATAATTCACAAAAACAAACACACTCCAATTATCATATTCTACTAATTAATAAGACACATACTCATCTAACTAATAAAATATATGTTGTAATAGATAGGATCTCCGCCATCTTTTACAGTGTCTCATTTTTTCTGCTTGCCTACATTTATTTCGTAATTTATTGTATCGTTTAATTCCTACCTTCCCCCCCCCCTGGTATCTGTATTTTGTCGCAGTGGTGGAGGTTTGCATGCCTAAAGGAACCTGAGAGCCATGCCAGCGGTAACATATGTTACCAAAAGGGCCTCCAATGCTGGACGAGTCAAAGGTGATAGGCCAGACCAAAAGAGATACCCTGGTCCTCCACCAAGTTGTGGGTTGGGGCATGAGGCTGACAACCTCATCCCTGTTAAAAACATAAATTGTTAGGAAACCTTGAATGACAGCCCCAGAGATATCAGATGTATCAAAATATATGCGAAATGGCATGATAAAGGAACTACGAAATGAAACATTCAATGTGTTGACTGTGTAAATGGGAGCCTTAAAACAACTTGAAAAGTGCTGCAAGATTAAAAGGTGGATATAACAGCACTAGAGAAAAATTTGTTGAATCCGACAAGGTGTTTTGGAGAAGTGGAACTGCAGTGTGTATTGCTGCTGTCAGAAAAGCAAACATGAATTTGTATGTGGATTCATAGTAAATTCTACAATTAACCATTCAGTAATTGACTTCAAACCCATTAATCACAGACTGTGTACCACGAGGGTTAGAGGAAGATTTAATAACCTTTCAGCTTAATATGTGCACATGCACCAACAGAGGAGAAAAATTAATATATTTAAGATAGCTTTCATGAGGAGTTGGAAACGATGTTATTGGGTGCCCAAAGAACAATATTAAGATTCCCCTTGGAGACTTTGATACCAAGGTAAGGTTCAAAGATCAAGACAGATTTGTTGTTGGGAACTGTGGACTGCATGAGGAAAGTAATGATAATGGACTAAGATTGATTGATTGATTGACTGATTGATTGACTGATTGGTTGGTTGACTGATTGATTGATTGATTGATTGATTGACTGGCTAGTGCACTAAACATGGTAACAGGGAGTACTATGATCCCACACAAGAAGATATATTTAGCAACTTCAAGATCCCCAGATGACACAACAAATAGTCAAATTAACCACATACTGTGAAGAGAGCAGTCTTCTGGGATGTGGCACCATGTAGATAGTGTGTTAACCCTGAAGATGGAGGCGATATGTTCCTCTGAAACGTCAGTTAACACAATATCTACACGGCGAAACATCCCAGAAGACTGCTCTCTTCATAGTCACCGCTGTGAAAATCTCAAATCTTACATAACCACACACTGATTGATGCAAGACAAAAATAATGTGATGGATGTCTGCTTATTCTGACCATTATCTTGTTATTAGCAGAATAAGGGCAAAAATTAGTGGGTCAAAATATGTTCCGAATAAAGATAAAATAATAAGAGACAATATAAGCAACCTAAAACAGACAGAGGCCAGAAAGAATTTGAGTAAAAGATATTTTTTATTGCTAGTGGGGTGGGACTAAGTCCCTTGTGCTGCGGCCACTTCTGGCCTATTGTACCAGCCCCAGATGATAGGTGAGGGTGATTGTGGAGCAATTGGTGGAATGAAGATTGGCAGGAGAAACAGAAGTACTCAGAGAAAACCAGCCCCAGCACCACTTTGTCCACTACAAATCCCACTTAACCAGACCCGGGATCGAACCCAGGCCACCGTGGTGGGAAGCCAGCGACTAACCGCTTGTGCTATGGTGCGGCCAGAAAAAGATTACGTATTCTTGTCAGGAGGTTAGGGAAGGAATGACAACTGAAGAAGAGTGCACCAACTTGGGAAGAGTTCTTAAAAGAGCAGCACATTTTGCTTAGTAGGTTTACTAATGTCTTCTCCTGCAGTGTTTGAAATCCCCTATAAACTGGTTCCTGGATTTACAAAACCTTCTGACTTTAAAAGTTTTTCCATGACTTCTCGTCATTTCTGCTACACAGCCTCTTGCATGACTACCTCTGCCACCAGTGACTTTATGTTCTTTTCTCTTTTTGACACGCTTTTGCTTTCTGTTATTTGCCTTGTATTTACAAACACCCGTTCTGTTCCTTGTTCCACTGACTCCTCAGGGTTATAAAGTATTGTGAATCTATTTACACTCATTGGTACTGTAGCATGTTTACTTACTGAAGACACCGTTCGGATTGTTAATTGGTTTATTTAACAACCTACAAGTCTCGGCTACAATTAATTATAACACTGTTGCGGGGTTTTACACTTTATAACCCTATTCGCGCAACACGTCACAGTACTAACTGTGCTTACCTTACTTCTGGTTTTCTGGTCCCTTTTCTGCATCCTTTTTATTATTTCTGTCCTTACACTTGCATTTTTTTTTCTTTTTTCATTTAAAGCCGTCTCCTTTCTTTGTATATTTGTGGGGGGTTCATATTTTTTACACTCAACCCATTATTTTAAGTTCCCTTCCTTTTGAAAAAATCTAATGACTTTTGGGGCTGAACTGGGTTATCATAAAATCTTCTTAAGTTCTAATTTTAACTCTTAACTGATTATAGTATATCAAATTTTTTGTGCAGGAATCCCTGATCTGTGAGGGAAAGTAACTGACACTCAAAAGCATTCACAAGTTAGCGGATGCTGTATATGCACTAAGAAATTAACTTCCTTACTCTACAGTGAGCCAAGTGCCAGATCAGAGATGAAGCCCCCAACTAGGAACCCGATGTTATCACATGCTGCCTGGATGGGAATATCACACACCCCAGGGGTCACTGAGAGGTAACTATGGGAGAGGAACCGCCTCCAGTGCCACTTGTCCTCCACAACTTTGCACTAAAGTCACTGGGCACTGAGTCTTGAGGCTTCAGAGTGAGAAGCCAGCATCTAAGCACTGTAACTGAGGCACAGTGCTGCATATATGCACTTTTGAAGTAAACTTATGGTGCTTAAATAATTCATTTATTCATTTAATTTCAAATGGTTCTCAGTTACACAAATCTCGTAACTGTTTATCATGATGACTAAAAATATTATAGATGATAGACAGTTTTACTTCCAGATTTACCATGAACAGGCCTGAGAAACCCATCACCTACGTATCTGAAGAAGGATATGTGTTAGGTGTAACTAACTGCTACACGACAGAGGGATGATCGACAAACTTAACTTATTAAAGTGGAGGCAAACCGCGGTCATCACATTCCTATTATACTTTATTGTAAAATTTATTCTAAAGCAGTTAATGCATCAGTAAACTGTGTCATCAAAAGAAACTCTAGATTAATAAATAAGGTTTCAGTGAATAACTTTCCATCAACTTGAAACCTTCAGTTGCAAACACCAAATAAAAATAAATCCAGTGTAGTAATTTTAAGCAACAGTCATTTAAAAGGATGCAACGAGAGAATAAATAATTATTTGAGTGATAAGTTTAGAACAACTGGTTGGATCAAACCAGGAGCATTAGCCGGGGAAATATTAGAAAAACTAACAGAAGACTTGGTGAATTTGAAGAAAAGTGATGCAACTGTGTTCAATGCTCGTGCTAATGATATATATAGGAATAAGCCTAATGAGGCTTTAATGAAAATTATCAAGTTTATAGAGAATAATAATATAAATATAACGATACTTGGTATTCCACATAGACATGATTTGGTTGAGTATTCATGTGTAAATACAGTAATTCAGGTATTTAATTATAAATTAAAGAAAGTAGTTAACTTATTTAATTATGTCACTATAATGGAATGTAATTATAATAGGGAGTATTTCACTAAGCACAGTATGCAGCTTAAGGGAAGAGGTAAGGGGCTAATTTCTAAAACAACTAGCCTCTGAAAGTGGAAACTATCTGCAACAGTAGAAATACCTCCAATTAATTTGAGATGGAAAGTGGTACAGGAAGAAAGTAGTATCAAGCTATGCTCCAGTGCATGAAACAAGGTTGATAATGATTATCTTATGGAATAATTGAAAATTGTACCTGATAAGCTACTTGCTGAAGATAAATATGTAGTACACTATCATACAAACAAACCGAAAACTGAACCTGAAAAGCAAATTACTGAAGATCAACATGTCAAAGAGAATAATGTCACTTCTGTTAATTCACTGAACTGTGGGACACTCACTGAGGACAATAATGCTGACTCTTCATTTAAATCAAAAAGGATAGGAAAGCTCCAAGCACAAGAACTGATGATTTTTTATGGTAATACCAAAATCAGTAAACCCAGGCAATGTATCAAACCTCCAATTTTTTTCTCAAAATATTTGAGATTTAGGCAATAAAACTGATGAATTAACTATTTATTTCGTAATGATGCCCCTCATATACTTTACCTGTCGGAGCAACATTTATCAACGAAAATTATTCATACCATAATTATTGATTATTATAATTTGGGTGCATACTACTGCAGGAAATACGCTAAATGTGGCGGTGTATGTATATTTATTCACAAATCTTATCAATTTATAAATATGGACTTAAATAGTCATTGTATCGAACAGGACTTTGAGGTATGTGTGATAAGACTGAGTCATAGTCCTGTAANTAAACAAGGTCGATAATGATTATCTTATAGAATAATTGAAAATTGCACCTGATAAGCTACTTGCTGAAGATGAATATGTAGTACACTATCGTACAAACAAACCGAAAACTGAACCTGAAAAGCAAATTACTGAAGATCAACATGTCAAAGAGAATAGTGTCACTTCTGTTAATTCACTGAACTGTGGGACAGTCACTGTGGACAATAATGCTGACTCTTCATTTAAATCAAAAAGGATAGGAAAGCTCCAAGCACAAGAACTGATGATTTTTTATGGTAATACCAAAATCAGTAAACCCAGGCAATGTATCAAACCTTCAATTTTTTTTCTCAAAATATTTGAGATTTAGGCAATAAAACTGATGAATTAACTATTTATTTCGTAATGATTCCCCT